ACACACACACACATGTGTGTGTGTGTGTGTATATACATATACACACACACACACACAAATATTTTATACCAATAACATATACATCAATATTATGCTCCCAAAATATTTAATTATAATATTATAATCTATTGTCTTACACTATCTTAACTTCTCATGTAAGATATGATTGGTACACAATATTGTGCGTAATATGTGTGCGTGTGTGTGTTTCCAGGTTGATCTCTCGGCGTATAAAAATGTCACAGTATTTCTAGCCCCTAGTGTGGTGAGTACCACAGTGATTCCTAAATCATTTAATAAGACTTAGAATGAATTCAGTCAAAGACTTTAATGCATTTGCATCATATTATTAAGCCCTCATATACCGTGTATTGTGTCTTTATCAGTTAAGTCTTTTGCAAAAGAAGTTACTGGCCGAGCTGCCTGAAGATGCTTTGATTGTGGCGGGACGTTTTCCGTTTCCTGATTGGACGGCATGTAAAGTAGAGGGTGACGGTGTGGACAGAGCGTGGGCCTATCACATACAAGAACTGAGACATCGCTACCAGTCACAAGATATACATGAGGAAACCAGCTGAGAAACATTTTAAACCTGTGCTTTCTTATTATTATGTATTCGTTTTATCATGTTTTATGGAATTCTTTGATGCACAGAATGTTTTTACAAGATTTAAGCTATTAATTCATCTTTTTATTGTGCCCTCACTCTTAAGTGAAACAAAACATACAATGTCGATAAACAAAACTGCTGTCTGTGGGTGTTCCTTAAAGGGTTCAAACACGTGGATCACTTCCTGTTTCTTGATGTGACCTAGATAATGTTGTGTGTACAATATTTCTCTTTTACATGAAAAAAAGGAAATAAACCTCAAGAGTCATCTTAAATTGCATGTGCTGTTTTGTGAAAAGTGCATGTTTGTAAATGTGTTTACCAGTCAATCTGCAGTCTTACTCAACATGTACTCGAGTTGATGGGTTGCATAATGTGAAGCCGTTGAGCAAACCACAATAAACAACCAGAAGCAAGAGAATCGCAAGCTCTTCCCTTTCATCTTCAGAAATGACAGACAGTCACAGACCGATTCTCACAGTCCAGGAGGAACATCTACATGCAGAAACAAAAAGTAACAAAGCTTTTGTTTTGGCTAATTAACCTATGCTGATTTTTACAAAGCAGAGAGGCTGATGTGATGCAGGCATTTATAATACATTTTGAAGTTAGCAAATTAGAAGCACTCAAATGAAAAGAAACAAATTCAAAATATTCAAAATCACAAATATTTGAAAACAAACTGTGCTAGTCGTAAAAGTCGTTGGTATGGCAGACAAAACCACTTCTGTTAAATGGGCAAAACTATTGACCACTGTAAATAATATCCAGTACCAGTTAAGAAAAACAGTGTAAAAATGTATGAATAAATAAACAATAAAAATAGATACAAAAAATATGTTATTACTTTATTCTAATTCTAAGAAAAAAACACTTGACCCTTTAACACTTGCACTCTATTATTTTTCTATTCTTACTACTTGTTTTCTTTGTGAAAAAGAGCCTAGCATTCTCTATTCTTTTTCTATTCTATCTTCCTGTTTTCTTTTTATTACATTAAAAAATGACCCTCTAACTCTAGCGTTCCCTACTCTTTTTCTATTCTATCTACTTGTTTTTCTTTTTATTAATTTCATATATAGCAGGGTTTATAGTAGCAGGGTTTTTATATATATATATATATATATATATATATAAACCCTGCTACTTGTACTGCGTTAGGCTGAGACTTGTCACAGCACTTGCATATTTTTGCCCTTTTGTTGGGTTTGACTGCTTCTATTGTCCTCATTTGTAAGTCGCTTTGAATAAAAGCTTGACTAAATGTAAATATAAATGTGAATGCGGTATTTATACATAAAACTATATAGATGTCTTTTAAACTTTAGGATGTGGGTCCCTCACACGAGGGTCATCATATTTGGGGGTCCGTGGCATCTAAAAGACTGAAAAGCTCTGGTTTGGCGGATGCATATGTGTAATAATCATACAGTCTATGGTAATAATGAAGCAATACCTGCACACATACACACTGTACTCGACATGTGCCTTGTTGCGGCCGGTCTCATCCGGCCCGAGTTTAAGATTTCACTTCCGGTAGTTTAATGGGTAGAGTACATTGGGTGGCAAAAGCAACTAGTTCCTAATTACAGTTTAGTTTAGAGCGCGTAATGTTTTTCCTCAAGGGGCGCTTGACGGCTCACAACGCCGATTCCTCTATTGAGTCGCATTCAAATCTCAGAACGTGTTATATCTTATTGGAGACATTTGTATAATATAAAGTATAATCATTTAAGTCACGTTATTACAAATATACATGCCTGACATACTAATGGGAATTCTCCCTCTGATTCCTCTATAAAATGATGAAAAGATCAAGCCTGATTAGTAATCACAAACGACGGTGACTGGTACAGTCCGACCAGCGCTGAGAAAAGTAACAAGTACCACGTGATGACTAAAGCGAAAGCAAAACAATTTTAAATTATTTATAAGATGTGCTGCAGTAAAATTTAGAACGTTTAAGTAGTATAATGTGTGCTATAATGTGTATAGTATATAGTGTGGTATAATCGTGTAAAATGAAACTTTAAAAAAAAAAAACAATTTTAAATTATAAGATGTGCTGCAGTAAAATTTAGAACGTTTAAGTAGTATAATGTGTGCTATAATGTGTATAGTATATAGTGTGGTATAATGTGTGCTATAAATAAATAAATAAATGCAAATCGTACACATAAATACCAAAATGTACTGAAATGTTGCTTATTTATGCTTACATATTATATATATTTTATGTTTTTACAAGAGGTATTGCAATCGTGACAATATGAACAACATTCGCTGCCAAACAAAAAAAAAGTTATACACATTTTACGACATTTTTCATTGTTTTTTTTTGTTTGTTTTGTTTTTATCTTGTTCCAAAATATTTATATATATAATTTAAAGTCATTTATAAAACGTAGGAAAATTAGGTTTGCAAAGAGCCCACTTCTTCTTGTACAAGAAATTTTCCAAATAAAATAAACAATTGCGTAACGTATTGTTTGAAAAGCTCACTAATTTAAAAAAAAATCGCCTAATTACTATTCAGACCTGTCGCTTCTGACCAATCAGAGACAGCTTCTCCTCTTTAAATCCCGCCCACTAAAGTAAACCGTTCCTTTAAGCTGTTTGCCTTTCTGCCCGCTCTCATTTCTATTCTATGAGGAAGATGTCACTTCCGTTAGTTTAATGGGCAGAGGAGAGGAAGCTTACGAGAGGCCTGCACGGAAAGAGCGATCCCAGCAACCCAAGGAGTGGCTCTGTCAGTCTTCTGGGGGCTCAAATTAAAACACCGAGTCCCGTACAGCGCTACCGCCACCCGAGACGTAAAGAATAGAGTCCCGACATATTTTTAAGACCGCTGTTTTGTTGCTCTTCTCTCTATTTCGCAGTAGTTGTATGCGGTTTGTCGCCGTGTATCCGGGTAGCGTCAGTTCCAGTCTCGTTTAGGCTCGCGTTAGATCAACAATAATAACAAGTGTCTCGGAGCCCGAGCCCGGGGTCCACCGGGTGTGTGCGGGACAGTGATGCGGAATTTCGGTGCTTCCCAAAGGTGAAATACAAAGGCCCCAGAGGAAGCATGAGCGAGCAGAAACCGATTCATCTCATATTATAGCCGCATAAAAGCTCAGAGCCCGGGCATGGTGAGTCAAAATTAATGCATATATATGTGTAACACACTCACAGTCTATTTGATGCATTTTTTTTTCATATGCAATTGCAAATACGTGAACTTTCTGTATGTGCAGCAGTGCCTGGAGGTTGCAATGCTTTTGAAGCGTCTGTGCTTCTTTATTGGCCTGTAAATGATCATATTGCATTGTGCTAGAAGCATTGATTTAATTTAAGCACGTCAAAACACTTTGGTTTAGATGTGTATTACTGTACTATGGTGTCTTAGGGCTGACAGATAGCAGTCATAGATCTGTCAGATATAAAAGCAAGACAATTGGAAGTTTATTCTGTCAGTGAGGAGCGATATCAGGTGGTATTCACACAAACGAAGCAGAGCAAAGCTTCTTCTGCGTGTGTATGTAACGGTGTCCTCTTGAGTTCAGGACATTCTGAACGGTATGAGGAAATCAAAAGCATTCTTCTGCTGCTGTGACGTCACACGCAACGTGTCGTGACTCATACAAAGATTTCAGAACCCTGAGCGTCATCATCATCATCATCATCATCAGCCCACTTCCTGTATTCGTCTTCCACCCTTACTACTCTTTTCTGTGAACACTCTCACCTTTTTGTGTGTATTTTGAGGGCGAGCGTGCACTGAAAAAAAGGGGATCTGTCAGAAGAAGGCAACATGATGCATTATACATAGTAGTTAAGGTTTGATAAATAAAAAATAAGAAAAATGAAAGAATAAGAAAAGACAATATGATGCATTACACATAGTCTTAAAGAGTTAATAAATAAAATTTAAATGAAATAGAAAAAGGCAACATGATGCATTACGCATAGACTTTAAGAGTTAATAAAGAAAAAAAATAATAATTTAACATTATAAAATAAATTACAATTAATTAATTTCTCACCCTCATGCCATTCCAAACCCATATGACTTTCTTTTGTGGAACACACACGCACCAAAAAAAAAAAAAAATTTTGAAGAATTTTTCAGCTGTCTTCAAAATAACACTGCATGAACAACAAAAACAAAACACTGACATTAAAAAAACATACTTGGTAATAAAGCTCTTCTGATTCTGATTCTGATTCTGATTAATTGTGCAGCCCTAACATAAAGAAAATGAGGGTGATTTAATAATGACAAACCTTTCTTTCTTTTTTTTCCTATAAATGATGAGCTACATCTTCCCAAGCCAAATACATAACAGTGACGACATTCAACAGCATATAAAGAATATAGCTTCCTGGGAGCTTGCAAAACCTTAAATCAGTTATGAGAACATTTGAGCTATTTATTGTTAGTCTAAAATGGGATTTTTATGTACAGTATATTGACATTTTTGAGTATCTATGACTCCGTATGCTGGATTTGCATTTAGTAGATGCGATGGAGTTGTGTTTGATGCAGTGCATGCCTGCATTAAAAGTTCAGATTGAAATGCCTTATCTTGTCATATCTCATCTTACTCTTCCCTCCCTCCCCCCTCTTCCGTCTCTCTCTGTGCTGCAGGCATCAGAGGAGGCATCCTTACGGGCCCTGGAGAGTCTTATGACAGAGTTTTTCCACAGCTGCACCACCAATGACCGCAAGAGAGAGATTGGTGAGCATATGCCTGACACTGGCCTTCACACAGTTATCATGCCCTGATTTGCACAGTCATCCTTTGTACGGTTATAATCTGAAAAGGCTGTCATTTGTTATGTCTGTCTCGCATCATGAGACATTCGATTTTCTCTTTTTTCAAGAAATTTCTTGATGCACAATAGGGTTGTGACGGTGAGGAAATTTTCCCACCGGTTAATTGACGTGTGACAACACCGGTAATACCGGTATCACCGTGGGGGCGGGGCGTTTCCTCTTTTCCTTGCTTTCCTTCACTTTTAAATAGCTTGCAAAAGCGGTGTGCACATTTTACTTTCACTTTCAAATAGTGGCAATTCGGCGTAAAGCAATTGTTCGTTTTTAGTTCATTTTAATTTTCCCTCTTTTCCTCCACTTTTAAATAGCTTAAAAGCGCCGTGCGCATTTTACTTTCACTTTTGAATTAGCTGATCTGTGATGCGACTGTCGTTCGGCACGCTGCATTGAGCAGCCGCGTTCAGTTTTTAATTGTAGTG